ACACACACACACACACACATCCTTGGATTTGCATCAAACTGAGGACTTTTTACTGACTTCCATTCATTTTTGTAACTGTATTTATGCCTAACCCAAACATTTTCCTTTAAATTAACCATCACTGATCCATAGCTAACTCTAACCTGAACCAGAACTTAATTCACACCACACCTCTAAACTACTTTACTACTTTTCTAAACTACTTTACTACTTTTCTAAACTACTTTACTACTTTTCTACTTTTCTGAACTACTTTACTCTGACACACCTGCTTCAGTGACTGAACAACCTCTTCATGTTCTGCAGAAGGTGACCCGTCTTGACTCCGCCTCCTGAGAGTTTCAGATGAAACGTCTCTGCTGTTTGTGTCCCGTCAGGCTGTTTGACGTCGGGGGTCAGAGGTCGGAGCGGAAGAAGTGGATCCACTGTTTCGAGGACGTGACGGCCATTATTTTCTGCGTGGCGCTGAGCGGGTACGACCAGGTGCTACATGAGGACGAGACCACGGTAAGGAGCCCTCCGTCCTGCGGCGCTCATGTCTCACCGTGTTTTAGGCAGGAAAACAAAAACGTTTATTTTTACAGTTTATATAATACTGTCTCTGATGAACCAGATCTGTGTGATTAAGTCAAAATAAAACATTTCTAGACAAATGAAAGGTTTGGATTCGGACACAGATGAGGACCTTCTGTTGAGGAACTAATAAAAAATACATTTTACGTAAAACATTTTTCATAATTACAGTTAAATTAAGTGTTTTATTTAAGTGAGATGCATCAAACTTCATATTTTAAGAAGATTAAATGCTGTAAATTGTTCAGTTTTTATTAAAATCAGTAAATCTCCAGTTTAAATATGCTGACAACACAAGGTTCAATTTAACAAATTCATTTTTTACAGTCGAGTTTCAGAGTTTAAATGTTTTTTTTTAAAAAGATCGATGTTTTAATGTTCCAGTTGTGCTTTTTGTTACTCCTTTCTTTCTACTCAGGTTCTGTATGTTTTCTGTTGTTGCTCCTTGTTAGCCCTGACACACACACACACACACACACACACACACACACACACCCTCTCCGCAGCACATGTGTGTATTTGTGCCGGGGTTTGTTGGGCGGGAGGGTTGGTACAGGTGGGTTGGTGGGCGGGTTCCTTGCGTTTCCTGTTCCTGCTCTAAGCTCCGCCCTGCAGCGCACCTGGCTCCTCCTTCTGTCGCTCTCGCCATCGGCTGTCCTCTCTAACCAGTCAGCGCTCAGACGTTCTGCTGAAGCTCCGCCCACCGACAGGTACGACAGCCTCCCCGACAGGTGGGCTGAAAGCGATTCCTCTCTGCGTTCTCGTTTCCTCTTTCTGACATCGTTTGTCTGAATAACGTCTCTTCCTGCCGGATGGCCCGCCCACTTCTGACATCATCACCTGCACTAAACTGTTTCCTGCATTAACCGCCTCCCACTAATCCCACCAGCTCCTCCTCCTGTCTCCCTGAACGCATCAGAACCAGAGAGAAACTGCTTTCAGCTCAGGTTAAATCAACATTTATTGTTTTATTCAGAATATTTCCTGCATCAATCACAGATTTTTATGTTGAAATGTTAAAACAGATCCAAACTGTTTTTGTTTCTGTTTCTGATTGATTTAATATTTCTGAAGTTCGTTACATAAATAAATCCTGACGCAGGGAAATGCTAACCCTGAGGCCTCGTGGGTCATTTTGACCCAAGGGCAGCAGGAGGGTTAAACACGAAATTATAATTTCTTTGAATATTTTTGTTTTTACATGAATGTTTTCAGCAAATGAATTCGTTTTATCCTTTATGAACATTTTAGCTGCAGCCGTTATTTAAAATATTTTTATTCTTGACTTTTGAGGACCCTGTGGAGTTTTTAATACGAGCCCCGTACACCAGTTTGTGTTTTTTGGGTCAGAAGTTGAAAAGTTCAGGAACTTCTTCATGATGGTATTAAAACCACATGAACTGCATTCACATACACTGAATGCGTTTTTAGTCAGACCACCTTAAGAGGTGGTCCAGACCCCTTTTAATCCACATCCACACAGTCTGAAAACAGTCCATCTGGAGCCAGGAAGGACCTGTTCCTGGACCCAGACGACCAGCCCAGTGGACGTTTCAGAGCAGATTTTAAGCAGTTTTCTCAGCTGATGAAAGATAATTAAACAGATATTATTGGAATATTCTGAAGATGCAGCCTTTTAGTTTGTTTTGTTTTAGACCAGGTGCTCACCGATAAGCCCCTCCCTCAGGTCTGGCTCCAGGATAGTGGTAACTCACAGTCCAGATGAGGGACATTGTCCTCTGTCCTGCAGAACTGTAGAGGTAAAACCTCCACAGGGTCTCAGTTCAGTGGGTTCTGGCAGGGGATGTTATCAGTCCATGAAATGGACGTTATTAGGCGTTATCAGTCCCATTCAATGGCTTCAGAGGGTTTGTACCGTGCCTTCTAGGCTTCAGAATGTCTCGACAGTGCCCCTAGTGGGTCAATATATTAATGACAATGAATGTGTAAATAATCAAAACATATTGTAATAAATTTTTTGTGTCCATGTCGGACTCGAACTCTGGTCTCCTGTTCTCTGGTCCGACACTCTACCCATTGCCCTAATGAGAGGTCACAGTATACATTTGTCTGAGGTTAGTGCTAACCATGTCATCTGCTCTAAGTTTAACCTTGGTGGCTTTAAGTCGCATATTAACCAGATTTTTTATGCCTCATGTTAACCACATAGTGGCTTTATGCCTCCAGCTGACAATCAGAAGCCATTCTATGGGACGGGGAGCCTTCTAACCGGCACAGGCGTGACATTCTGAAGCCATTCTATTGGACTGATAACGCCTAATAACATCCATTTCATGGACGATAACATCCGAAGCGGGTGGTTCTGGTTGGGTGTGACAGATATTAGTTAGAGCTTAGCTACTAACGGGCTCAGCATGCATGGCTTTGTGAAGCTTCTGAATAACTTCTGTAACGCACACACTAAAGCAAAACTGTAGACGTGAAACCAGACAGGAAGAGCAGAAAGGTCCGAGTGTTTCAGGAAGAACACTTTCTGTTCTCCTTTCTGGTTTGAAATTTCTTCACACTTCCTGTTTCAGGTCAGATTGTGCGACTGATTGTGTTTTAAACTGAGAGTTTGTGAGATTCCCCGGATGTGTGCAAACGTCTGAGATGTTTTCACGGCCCGTTTGACCTACGCCCATCTCCCCCCCTCTGCAGAACCGCATGCACGAGTCCCTGAAGCTCTTCGACTCCATCTGCAACAACAAGTGGTTTAAGGACACCGCCATCATCCTCTTCCTCAACAAGAGCGACCTGTTTGAAAAAAAGATCACCAAGTCGCCGCTGATCATCTGCTTCCCCGAATACTCCGGTACTTCCTTCATGGTGACAGTTGGAGCTGTGTCAGCGCGCCGTGTGGCTGTTCAGACACTAGGAGGCACTGTGGGCAAAAGTTCAGGGCTGCATCCGTAAAAAAAAAACAGCTTTATATAAATGAGTTTAAACATTTTATTAGACACTCAGCTATTTCTGCTGTGGTCACCCTCTTTGCAGACGACTCACCGCTCTTTATCACTGAAACTAAAAAAAATGCAGTAACGTCCTGAAACTCCAACATCCATCATATTTCTTTTCCAACAACCAAATCTGGAACTTTCTATTAATCTAAGCCAATAAAATGTTGGTGTTTTGATTTAAACTGTAGAAGAAGAGTAAAAGCGCCAAGACATGAGCTGCATTTCCATTGACTATGAAAATGTGCAAATTGGAATTTGGAAAATAAATTTGCTCAATGGAAACACGTCAACTTCGAAAAAAAATTACATTTTTCGACAAAATGGTTTTGTGCTAGGAAGAGGTGGTTTTTCGGCCTTATCGAAATTGATGTATTTCGCAAAACTGCAATGGAAACACTTTTTTCACATCATGGGAGTCACGTGATCGAGAACCGGCTGTTTCTACTGGCGAAAAGTCAACGAAGATAACAGGAAGTAAAAGTAGTACTGAAATCAACGAAGTAGTAAAAGAAAGTATTAAACTCGCCGACTACATTTTCCCAAAACCACAGCATACGTAGCCACTCCCAAGCAAAAGGGACTTGTCTCTGGAAAGCCTCGATAAAAGACGCCAGCGTCTCCTCTGATGATGAGCGCTAGTGTCGTGGTAGCAACATGCTATGTGTTTACATCCATTGCCACCATGTTTGTAATGACTTATCGTGAGAACAAACGTATTCACGTGACTTTAAAAGCGTTTCTTAATGGAAACACTGCAACTGTGAAACTGTGTTTTTTCAACATTAACAGAATATCGACAAAGTTTTGCGCACATTTGCAATGGAAACGCAGCTATAGAGAAACACTAAAGTTGCTACCATTGGTTTGCAGGCAGAAACTGAAAACACTGGCCACTGTTTTGAAGACAATACTTTTGTTAGGTGGGAGGTCTTGAGCAGTCCTGTAGAGTCCAACTATCAGATTTAAATGAAGTCTGAACTTCAGAGCTCCAAACAGGGCTGAAGTTGTTCATTCCTTTCAATTTGTGACAGTTTTTAAGGGTTTTTCTGCAAACGATGTCTTTCTAACAAAAGTGACATCACGCTGTTCCCAGTCTGACCGAGTTTTACCAAAACTGCAGATGTAGTAAATGAATAGATGCAAAGTTAAAGAAAATACTCTAAATTTTAGAGTATACTTTTTTACTTTTAGAGTCTAAAAGTATTACTTAAATACAAATATCCTTCAGTTTCTTTGCTTCAAAAGAAAAACGTTCATGAATGCACAATAAATGCAAGAACTCCTTTTTGAAGCCCTAACTTACGTCTTTATTCAGAGTCAATAATCTCCAAATTAAATATGTGTTTACATCAAAAACAGACTAAAGCTGTGCCTAAACGTTGCAGTTAGAAACTGAGTTTGTTCTCTGTGATCAGATGTTAAGGACAGGCCAGCGGTAACTACCACACAGTCTGATAGTGAAGTAAACCATAAATAAATTTAGAAACAATCTGTTAAACTGAGTGAAACTCAAAGTGTTACCCAGATCCAGAGTGGTGGAGCTCAAGTGTGCGAGACACAAGAGGGGGAACACGAAACAAACGACTGAACTCAGGCGGAGAACAACAAAAAGGGAGAACGCCAGAGAGAGAGTGTGAGAAAATGAGAACTAACGCTCTGTGGGAAAGCCGGGCAGAAAGAAAGCAGAACCACAAGAACTGTGAGAAAGAGAGGATTAAAATTCCAAAGATGTTTCTTCCCCTCTTCATCTCTTCACACGGCCGGACTCTGATGAAGTTCTGAGACAGACAGAGCAGCTAATGGCCCAGGGCCACGTTGACGACACTTGGACCAAAAATTACTCCAGTCGCTGAGATCAGACTCGTCTCTGAAGCAGGAGGGCGAATTCAAGCGTGCCAAGAGCTGGCACCAAGACAGGACCGGTTCTTTATGGACCGGAGCTGAGAGGATCTGCTGCTGAACATCACCACAGGGTGAAAAATAATTCCTCTGTTACGCTTTTAATTTCACGCTTTCTGTCACAAAGCCATACTGTAAGTCGGGCCGTGCAGAAGTGTTCATCCATCTGGGTAATCTTTCTGTTACGTTGCTTTACAGCTTTCAGTTTAAATTAAGATTAACATCATAAATACTTCATGTTGTTTAAGATAAATAAGATAAAACCCTCGTTTTATTAAAAAAAGAGCTGATCCCCAGAATCAACAGCAGTCTTATTAGCAGGGGCCCCCAATAATGAGACATCATGAAGACCAAGGAACACTCCACACCTGTCAGAGATGAGGAAAAACACAAATCAGGGTTAGGTTAGTAGGTAGAAACTAATAGACCAAGATCAGGGAGTCAGACCTTAACAGGCTTGACGGACCAGAATCACGGAGTCCGACCTGAAGAGTCTTGATGGACCAAGAGAATGGAGATGGACCTTAAAAACTTGCTAGGCTAAGATTATAGCAATGGACCTGAAATGACTTATTGGGCTAAGATCGTGGATTTGGACTTTACCAGACTTGATGGACCAGAATCATGGAGAGACCTTAAGAGACTTGATAGACCTAGATCATGGAGATGAATTTGTTGAGACCTGATGGACCAAAGTCGTAGAGATGGACCTGAACTGACTTAATGGACTAAAATCGTGGACCTGTTGGACTAGGATCTGGAGACAGATTTGAAGAGGCTTCATAGACCAACAGTATTGAGATGAACTGGACCTGAAGAAGAGACTTGATGGACCAAGATTATGGAGAAGAACCTGAAGTGACTTACTGGGCTAAGATCATGGAGTTGGACATTACCCAACTTGATGGACAAGGATTCTAGTGACAGAAGAAAGAGAATTGATGGACCAAGATCATGGAAAAGAACCTGAAAAGACTAAGGCCAAGGTAAAGGATAAGGACTTGTGAAGACCTGATGAACCAGTGTCATAGAGACTAACCTGAAGAGTCCTGATGGACCAAGGTCATGGACGTGTTGGACTAGGATCATGGAAGCGGACCTGAAGAGACTTCATGGACCAAGACCATGCAGAGGATCCCAATAAACCTGATAGTCCAAGGTCATGAGGCGGACCTGAACATTTTGATAAATAATTGGCTTAAATATCATAAAGTTTGCAGAAACAAATTTAATAAAACTTATAAAAAATAAATGTAAAATCTATAGTTTAAATTAATTTTAATAAACTCCAGATTTTAAAGCAACCAAGTAGAAAAAAAGCCAAAAGGTGTAAATATTCAGCGAGTTACTGTGGATTAACTGAAGTGATAAATTTGTCAGATTGCAGCAGGATTAACAGCTCATATTACCTCCCATCACATTTCATCAAACTCACCTGAAGAAGTTGTCCATGCATCATTTTTATTAAAGCGTAGCTGGCAGGCAGCAGAGCAGACCTCAGCAGAATGTTTGCAGAGCCGCAGGGTCAAAGGTTGAGCTTTCAGAACCGATCACAAACTCGCGCTGATGCAGACAAACGGAGGGCAGCCCTGCGAGCCCAACGCTTCAGATGATAAATGGTTTCTAAAGCTGTGGCCCCGCCTCCGGCCTCACCTCGTCTGTGTTTGTGTTTCCTGACTGCAGGTGCAGACACCTACCTGGAGGGGATCGGCTACATCAAGTCTGAGTACGAGAGCAGGAACAAGTCGCCCAAAAAGGAGGTGTACTCCCACGTCACCTGCGCTACTGACACCAACAACATCCAGTTCGTCTTTGATTCTGTCACTGATGTCATCATAGCCAACAACCTGCGGGGCTGTGGCTTGTACTGAGGGGGCTGGATGTTGGCATTTACCTGGGCACTACCTGTGTATGACTGGTGCGAATGATGTCATCATGTGGCGTCCTCCTTTAGGCTGAACACCTTAAATTAAAGCTGTTGGTTGGTTGGTTGGGTGCTTGTTGGTTGGTTGGTTGGTTGGTTGGTTGGATGGTTGATTGGCACATTGGTTGGTTGGTTGGTTGGTTGGTTGGTTGGTTGGTTGATTGGTGCATTGGTTGGTTGGTTGGTTGGTTGGTTGGCGCATTGGTTGGTTGGTTGTTTGGTTGGTTGGTTGGTTGGCGCATTGGTTGGTTGGTTGTTTGGTTGGTTGGTTGGTTGGTTGGTTG